CCATTTTAACCAAGCAGTGGCAGTTGCACTGCATGATCAGGCACCTAGATAAACAGCACTCCCATATTAAGAAAAGATTTGTCATGCATTGATTCTGTGATATCTGGAGAAGACAGCAACTGATAATCAGATTGTTGCCTTATAATTTTTTTCTAGTGGGGAAAATTCCTGAAAGCTGCTGAAATCCCCTCACTGAATGATTTGAGCTATGTTTGGCTGATTCTTGCACAAAGCCTCACGGTCTCTCAATTACTTAAAAATGACTGAGACATTCCTTCCCTTTGATCCATCCTGATAGACCATAAAAAGTGAATCAGATTTATACATGGCTGTAGACTTTTATATATACAGGGGTGTCAACACGCATGCCACTTTTTTTTCCTCATCTTGCACAGACTTAAAAGTGTAAGATGAAAAGAAACCTCTTTTATGACTCCTGGAATAAACAAGGGAGGTATCTGTAGCATTATTTTGATACTACATCAGATGAAAGCTGGCAGTGTTCAATCAAGTGAGCAGAAGTGAATGCAATTAAAACACAGACTCTCTATATGCTCCACTAGTGTCAGACCCTCAAGATAGGCCAGGCCAAAAAAAGACACCGTAAGGACTATTGGAAGTCTATTATTGTAGGCTAACAGAATCTTAAGAGCCTGCCAGAGCTTCCCTCTCTCCTACCATGCAGAATCAAGGGGGACTTGTTTTAAGTCTCTTCCTAATGGTTACTATTTTCTCAGGGCTGAGACTTTATTGTCACTTTTATCTGTTAACAACTTTCATATTCATTCACTTATCCCTGCCTCCCTCTACAATTTGGGAATCATCCTTAACATTACCTTAAGTCTCTTCCTAATGGTTACTATTTTCTCAGGGCTGAGACTTTATTGTCACTTTTATCTGTTAACAACTTTCATATTCATTCACTTATCCCTGCCTCCCTCTACAATTTGGGAATCATCCTTAACATTACCTTAAGTCTCTTCCTAATGGTTACTATTTTCTCAGGGCTGAGACTTTATTGTCACTTTTATCTGTTAACAACTTTCATATTCATTCACTTATCCCTGCCTCCCTCTACAATTTGGGAATCATCCTTAACATTACAGCTTCTTAGCACTATAAGGACTTGGTTTAGGTGTAATGAGAGGAATCTAAGCTAAGGTGTGGATGGCTGTCATTTAATTAAAAAAACCCTGTTTTTGTATTGCAAATGTCAAGGGCTTTTTCTCTGACAGATAAGTGTGAAGCTAAGGCACACAAGCATTTAGAAAAAATCCTTGGTGCATCTGCAATTTGGCAATGAGTTTTTAAATAAGGAACATAAGAGGCCGAGGCAATTAGGAAGGTTTTTTTTTTCCAGGGTCCAAAAGATATTGTTGGGAACAAAGTGACTGGATAGCTACTGATAGTACCTTCTTGCTAGCTAGGAAGGAAGTTAGCAAAAATCTGTGATCAGATTACCAACTATGGGAGAAGGGAGCATATAAAGGAAACTTTGAGTAATATTTAAAAGAGAGATTGATAAACGCCATGTAGGATATTTTTGGTTAAATTAGACTTACACTAAGTATTCACATGTGCACTCATGTAGAATAGGCACAGAATGTTGTACTCAAACACAAACACAGCAATTATTTACTGAATTAGTTTTTATATAATAATAAACTGCATTTTTATTAACATTACAACTCCATATGCATCTGGACTGGAAGGTTTAAAAACTACTCATTTAAACACCTGAAGGTACATGAATTACAGAATTCTCCCATTTGCGAACTAAGATACTGTTACAGGGTTCTTTATGATCTGGTATTCAACGTTTTGGGGAGTTCAGCCCGCAGGAAATTGAGGATATCCTTACATGTTTTACTGCTCTGATGCAAGTCAGTTTCTGCTACCCATTTTAGATAAGCCCTTGTGAGTTATGATATTAATGTAGCTTATTTAAGACTGATAGTTCTTTAAAATCCTCTGTAAATAACTTCCCTCAGATCAGCATTTAAGCTGTCTTATGTGCCCTCTGAATAGAAAAGTGGCTAAAAATTGAACTACGGGTAGTCCTTGTTTAACGACAGCTCATTCAGAGGCCATTTGAAATTACAATGGCACTGAATTAGGGGACTTACAACCGGTCTTTGTAGTTGCAGCCATCACATCCCCATGGTCACATGACTGCGATTTGGGCGCCTGGCAACTGGCTTGCAATTATCATGTTGCAGCATCCTGCAGTCACAGGATCGCCATTTGCGACCTTCACTGCTGGCTTCTGACAAGCAAAGTCAATGGGGAAGCCGGCAGAAGGTTCCAAATGGTGATCATGTGACTGTGGGATTCACCTAACAGCAACTAGGACTGCCAGAACTGTCATCAGTGTGGTCATGTGATATTTCACTTTACAACTGCATTGCTTAGCATCTGAGTTCCCGATCCCAATATGATCCAGGTGAAGGTGCAGTATTATACAATTGGAGTAGATCACTACATGTTGGCGGCCTCTAACTGTTCTGTACTAAAAGTTGGCTAGATCGGCAAATTAAGATCTCTTTACTTAGTGTAAACTTTTAAAGATCATCTCTAGTTCCCTAGAGTTCTGGTTAATAGAATCTATTAGAATCTATTAAAAGAAAGATTCCGGTGAGTGCTCTAAAAACCTACATATAGACAACTTTAAAGTGGCAAAACCATGTTTGTTTCCTACCACTCTTTCTATGCATTCCTGCTTCTTTGGGGAAGGAGGGGCAGTTTGCACGTATTCATTATTTTTAAATTTGCAAGTATTTATTGTTTTTAATGTTTTTAATGATTTTCTGTTGTTTCATGTTTTTAATTTTATACGCTGCTCATAGTCATGTATATGAGATGGGCGGCTATATAAATTTATCAAATAAATAAATAAATACATAAAAATGTTGATGCCTGTCAGTCTTTTTATCAGTGTGAGAAATAACTCTCACACAAAGTAGTGGATGACTCTATTCACTTACCAAGTCCAACTGAAATCAAGAGGAGCCTTGGGTACTTTAAAGAATAAAGGCAAAAGCTCTGAGGAAGGAAGTTGAGCTTGCCAAGTTAAGTCCAACTACTAGGGTTTGTCTAGATAATTCAATTCTGCACATAGAACTTTTAGCAAGAAAGGTAACAATGCCCTCAGACCTCAATATCTGGTTGCTAGACACTGTTATGAAAGCAATTTCCCATTGTGTTCTTCCAAGATGTTTTCTGAATTCTTAATTTAGTGTACAGGCCTAGCATTCATTGATGGTCTCTGATCCAAATACTAATCAACCCAATCCTGTTTAGTTTCTGAGTCCAGACAAGTTTGGCATCTCTTCAGAGTCAGCATCAGCACCTTTTTTTCAACTGATTTGAGATCTTGAATTTTTTAGTTCAATGCCATTGTCCTATGGCATCTTGTTACAGCATTACAAAAATATTCCCCTTCTTCAATGGGTATGTAATTGTATGGACAGCTCATTTTTTTGCACTGCTTTCTCTACAGGAAATCCTGGACATCTTTTATTTATCCTATCCTGAAGAAATTTCCTGAGATAGATCATGAATTCTATTTGACCTTTCTCCTGATTGACCACATTTCAGAAATATACTTCTGTACTGCCCAATTCTGCATTTTCTATCTACTATCCACTTCCCCTTGGGTCTGGAAAATCTATATTAATTTTTTAATGTTATAAATCTTCATTTTTAACTATTTTATTTCTTTCTGTCTGCTGGCCTTATGGCCATAATAAAGATTTTATTTGATAGTCCAGTATACTGCTGGAGAACATTCCACTAAGGCCTTTTTTTCTTTATTATCATGGTTTGCTTTATAATGCTTGTGATGTATATAACAAGAGCACAGTTCTTCAAGCATCAAGACCTCTTATGGATGCCTTTCACAAACCAACTTAAGTGAGAGTGATTCTCACAAGTACCTCATACCTCATCAACTTTGTTTACGCACACTGCCATACAAACCTAAACCCTATACTATCAGGATTCAGGAACATCTGAAAGCCTTCACATATACATGCAAATAATAATTTAATTGACATCACAAAGTGATGGAAGGGGTAATGCTGCTGTTCACATGGTAATAATACTTGTATGCCGCCTGACTCCCAGTGACTCTGGGTGGCTCACAACAAATAAATTACAATAGAATTGATAAAATAAAAGATGGCAAGTGCAACAGACTAGATAGAATAAAGTGAGAAGTCTCACTCTCCCTTACCAATGGCATGGGTGAAGGTCTTCATGGCTCTTCTAAACAACAGTAGAATAGGGGACATCCGAATCTTGGGTGTAACCTCATTCCAGAGGGCAGGTGCTGCTACAGAGAAGGCACACTTCCCGGGTCCTGATAGATGACATTGTTTAATCAAAGGAACCCAGAGTGTGCCAACCCTACAAGATCAAGTGGTTGGGCAGATACTATAGGAGACAGGCGGTCCCTCAAGTAACCAGGCCCTATGCCATGTAGGGCTTTATAGGCAACAAATACCACCTTGAATCACACCAGAAGCAAACCGGCAACCAGTGCAGCTCACAAAGCAGATGTATTACATGGGCATACAGAGGCATTTCATCACTGCTCCCACTGCTGCATTCTGGACCACTTGGAGCTTCTGGGTGATCTCTCTTTCCAAGCAGCTGAAACTGATGAAGCTCTCTAGTCAAGGGAGTGGTTTATATTTCTCAAATGGATACTGCTTCAGACTTTGCAAAACAGAGTCTCCAAATAAAGACATTAAAAAGAGACTTTTTAAAAGTAGTTTCAAATAAACCATAAGATGGTGATAATGCTAGCAGGAATTTTAACTGATTTTAGTTCCTCTGTAAACTGTCCAAAGTCGGGTTTGTTTTTGTTTTTTTTAACAAAATGAGTGGTGACAAATTTGATGTATAAATAAAATAAATAAGAATAGATTTAAATTAAAAATAAAAAAGCTTAAATATTCAGCAACAGAATGAACTACAGCATTGTTATTGACTCCCAATTTAAACAAATACAGTATATTCATCTCTCTTCAATGAAGACAGATGTGTTGAGGATAAATGACCAATTTGTTCAGCATCTACATAAACACTTGGTAAGTATCCTTTAAGATTTTTCTCAACATCACAATTTTCATAACAGCTTTGAAGGAGAAGGGAACGCTTACACATCCCTGTGTATCCTTTGAAATAGAGCATTATCTTTTCCATGTAAATCCTCACTGATTCTTTAGTAGTCTCTATTCACTTTATCCAAGTATAAAACTTGCAAGGAATATATATCAATACTCTTAATTTTCCCTCTTAATTTTGCCATTTTAGCTAGAACTGAGGCCAGATATTTAAGCCTCATTTAAAGAAGTACAAGCATTTCCATCCAGAAAAGCAAGCTTTTTCTTTTTTTTTTTGACATAATACTCAGTATCTGTTTATGTTTCAAAATGCTAAATACAGCATTGTTAAAGCTAATGTGTTTTGGTTAAGGTTCTGCACTGAGAAGAGTAAGATTCAAGTCTACCGTTTTATATGGAAGCTGAGTGAGTGACTTGGGGCCAGTCACACTCTCTCAATGTATTTCATGGGGTTGTTGTTTGAGGAAAAATTGGAGAAGGGAATGTTCTATACATCATCTTCACCTCCAGAAAAAAAGGCAAGATATAAATCTATCAATCTGTCTAAAGAGTCATGTACCCACAAGACAAACACAAGAAAATGGAAAGAACAAATTACATATTAAATAACCTATTATTTGTAAGCTTGTGGAATCTTAATTTATAAGGATATTGAAAATACACAATTATAGAAAATATTGAATATATTCCCAATCTAATGCTTTATTCTTTACACTCAGGTGCCTTGGCCGGTTCTATAATTAATTTTAAAAATTATCTGAGATGCCAAAAAAACTCAGCTCTGAAACATACACACAAATACAAATTGATCATTACATGAAGCACTTGCTTCAAATTGGTAGCAACTTGCATAACAGTATTACAGTTTCAGTCCTTGCAGAGTAATGTAAATAGAAAAGTCCGTGCTCTAAAAATATTTGCCATTCAAATGCTTTTTATTGGATGGAATCTAAGTGATTCCTTATCAATTTGTTTGGATGTTATCTTCAAAAACCCCAAAATCGGGAAAAATATTATATTAAAATGTCATCCCATTCCATTATTTTAATTACATTATTGTTGTCAAACTTTAGGATAGAAGAATTATCCATAATTTGTTACTAATAATTTACATATGTATAAGAAACAATTACAAATAGTCCTCACTTAACATCCATTTATTCAGCAATCATTCAAAGTAACAACAGCACTGAAAAAATGGACTTCAGAACCAGTCCTTCAACTTACGACCGTCACAGCGTCCCTGCAAGATGGACCCAGGTGAGTGATGTGGGGTACTTCTCATTTGGTAAGCCACTGATGGGACACAGGAGGAGGTAGTCTTCTAAGGAGGTGCTTCTTGCTGCACCATGGCTCGGGGGTTGCTTGCCATGCTGCAGCTCAGGGACTGCTTGGGGCAAGAAGCCCCTTTGCCATGGTGCAGGAAACTGCCCCAGAGGCACAGCAACAGGACTTTTAGCTATGCTGTGGTTCTGGGCTGCTTGCTGCACAGCGGCTTAGGAGCTTCTTGGCATACTGCGGCTCAGGGGCTTTTTGGCGTGCCAGGCCATGGGCAGGGAAATACAGTGGCCTCTTCATGCTGTGCAGGGAAGCCAAATGGGCAGAGATGGGGGGCAGGCAGGTGAGCGGAGTTGAAGGGGAGCAGTCCCTTGCCTTGGAAGAACCAAGGCTTGGGGCTGGAAGTGACCAAGCTGGGAATGGCTTGCATTGGGGTCCTAGCTTAACAACCTGTGGGATTCTTTTAACAATATAACAGGGGCTGCCAGAACGGCCGTTGTGAAGTGGGGTGGTCACATGGTGTTTCTGTTAATGACCACTTCATTTAGCGACAGTTGCCGATCCCAATTAAGGTCATTAAGTGAGGACTACCTGTATTCCATATGTTAAAACTGCCTTTCCAAAAATATCAAGAAAATGAGAAACAGTACAAATGTTATACTGGAGCATCACAAAATGTCATATGAAGGCACCCTCTAGTGTTCACAGTTAAAAATGACATTTTTAACAAGTTTAGGAAGCATACAGTCACTTATTATGAAGTTACTTAGTAATGTTTTATTGCCTTGTCAATTTATGTTTTTAACCTTCTTTCTTGAAAACTGCCTTGAGTTGTTAGTCAATTGGGTGGCCCTATAAATCAAACAAACAAATAAATGAAATGCTACTGTGCATCATCATCATCCAACTAACAGAAGGAAAATATTGGCTGTGTTGCTTAGAGCAAAAACTAAACTGCATGACATTGACAATGGCTTGTGTACAAAGATAGTACTGTACTATAGTCAAGCGATAAGGAAATGAATTTTTGGTTCAAGAACCCAAGCCAACTGCAAAATTAAATTAGGTTTGTAAGCAAGTAAATCTAGGATGAGGCAAGACTATTCCGCATTCTTTCTTGATTAGCTAAAAATAGTTATGCAATTCCTATTAACCTCTAGAGATTTTTTTTCAGTTCACATTTTAATATAAGAGACTACATTTCTGTTGTTACTTACACTGTAGATCCTTTGAAATAGTATTTAACTATTTTCATTTCAATAATGGATTTCAAGTTAATTTCAATAACTCACAGACTGTCTCCCTGACATCTTACCCTGTTTGTACTTGGAATGGAATTGTATAAACCATAGAACGTGTTCACAGATGTGCTAAGCTACATCTGGCACTACAACTAGTAAGCTACCTACCTATCCAACCATGGTGTGCATGACCACAAACCACAGCTATGTAATGGGTAGCTATGTAACCTGTCCTGTTTTTTACTTGATTCTTTTAACTTGTAAATACCTCAAATTAAAAACGAAAAACTTCAGTGACCTGCCATATTGGCTAAATAGGGAAGAACAGAACTGGAAATAGCAAAGACCTATACCTAGGAAAATTTCCTTTTGTAACCCCTCTTTTTTATGGCAGAGGATAGAAGGGCAAGTTAACTACAGATCAGATGTATTCTATGTCAGGGAACAGCAACAGGGATCACACTTTTTGGGGCAGATGTCATAATGCAAAGTGAATGGGCCAGATTTTTTTAAAATGGTGGTTGTTATTGTTTTTGACAGGGGGTCTTTCTTAGGGATAAAGGAATATTTTTATTTTTATTGCTTTTTAAAATTATGTTAAGTCTATTTTTGGAATTATATTAATTCAATTCAATATGGTCGTAGACCAGTATTGGAATTATAGTATAATTTTTGAGTACTCCTCATCTCAGAATGGCAGAGAACTATAATACCAGTTTTAACAACTCTGGTGAAAAGAAGCTCTGGAAGACCATATCCCTGACATATGGGTTTTCACTGTGTTTTAAGTGAGTATACCTATGCTAAATAATTATTACAAATTACAATTAAGGCATTCCTCCTTAAATAATTTAAACCATGGTTCACATTCAGATGCTAGACTTAACTACATTATGGCTTAGCAAGTCATGCAAGCAAAATCACAGATAATTATATCACAGTTTCTAATATATAAAAAGCATAAATATTAAAATGGAAAACATTTTCTTAACAATAGAAACCCTGCATAAGAAAAAAATAATAAACCAGGTTTTTGACAATCTATTTGATCAGCACTTTACAGATACAGAAGTACAGATAAAGGTAAGAAGTTAAAATGTTTTCCTGCAAAATCTGATGTTTCAGCAATTATAAGAAACCTATTCAGAACTACGATTTAGTTCAGAAATTTAAGGAGGAAAAAATGATTCTGAAGTAAATCTTAGCACGTATTTTTAAGAAAGCAAGAAGAGAAAACAGCAATGCTATTTTTATTTAGTTACAAATATTATTCTTTCAAAGAAAAATATTTAAACAGTGCTACAAATAGTTGATAGTAAATAGAATATATTCGTCTTTAATAAAAAATTTAGGGATTTACTCTCTACATTCTAACGCTTTACTTAAAAGAATTTAAAGTTACTCACCTTAGACTTAATATAGAATGGTGATGACTGCTGATGTATTGCTAAGTCCATGTTACCATTTGAATTTGTGATACTATTACAATTAGTTTGTTCATCTCTGCTGCTTTCATCAGACTGATCAAAATCATCGCTGTCCTGATCCATTTCTTCTTCTTCCTCCATGTCCTCCTCTTCCTCTGGTACACCAGTATGTTCATCTTCTTCCTCCTCTTCTTGGTTGCCAGAGTATTCTTCATCTACTTCAATAAATCTGTTGTTGTTTTCTTCTAAAGGTTCGTGTTGAGATTCATTTCTATGACACAGTCCAGGTTGCCCGCCACCAATTTCCCCATTTCTTGCAACAACTTCCTCTTGTTGTCGTAACTGTTGCTCCTCTTCCACAACTCGATTCATCTGCTCTTCATCCACTTGGCTTGATGAAGCATTACCTCGAATAGACCCACCAGTTCGTCGTCTCTTACTGCCAACAGATATTAGTTCCTGATTCATTTCCAAAAGCCAGTTTGCTACTTCTTGGACCTTCCCTAAACTATCTGAAGATGCAAAAGTTTTTACATTCTGAGAAGAGAAGAAGAAGAGAATTGTTACAACAATTATAAACCTTATTATGCTCTTAATTATATAGATCTAGATATTAAGGATCTCTCTGGCACAGAATACTTCTGATGTAGCATGTCAACTTAATTTTATACTGTAATAGACGTATTGCAAACAAAATCTGTTTCTATGCATTTTAATAAGTAAACTGTTTCATACTTTAAAGTGACAGTATAGGGGGAAAGATTAAGAACAAAATACTATATGCCCACAATAATACAGTATGACTCTTATGGACTACTGCATTTAAACTGGACGTTGTAGGCAGTGTCAATTACAATTTAAGTATTATAAATAATGAGATACATCATTTTTGGAAAAATCTATTTCACAACTGGTTATGCAATGTATTTTCCCTAATTATGGTAATATTTGGTGAATGGAAATGTATCAGACAAAATATACATATACTTAACTGATAGCATAAAAACTTGGGAAAGATTTTCAAAATTATACAAACATTTGGCTAAAAGGTGCAACAAGTTTTAACAATTCAAATACCATTCTGTAACTTCTTAAAGAATTTCAAATCGTTATAGTTAACAGTATTACCATAACTGCTACAGTAAAAATGTAGAAAGAATTATCTGTATAAAGCACCTAAGTTATGCCACTTTATTGTGAGCCAGGACATATATGCATGCTCAGCAAATGTCAGTCTAAGTGTATACATTGGATGAGTATATGGTAAGAGAAATGAGCACTAATTTTTTCCTTCCTACCAGAAGATGATCAAGCTCAGTCTACTTTCACATTGTCAGAGGCTGAACCAACCAGGCAGGGAGGGGGAAAAAATGAAACGGTGATGACCATAGCAATAGAGTTGTTGGTTATTTCTATTCTTACAGATTGCTAAATTAAAGCACAATCTCTATGAGACAAACAAAAATGCAATCTGTACTAGTTTTAATTCTTTGGTGAACATAAATAAAAATTAAGTTCCAAACATCTGTGTAAAGGAATCAGCATGCAAAATTTATACCGAGTTTTTTAACAGAAAAAAGTAAACACCACATAACATTTTAAAGATCTTGAAAAATATAAAATTGTTCCATGTATAAGTTAAATTAAATGCTTATAATAAAACTATCATGACCAATATAATTGTTAATGTCATTCTAAGATTATTTTTAATAAATTTTATTGCTTTTTAATTAATAATAAAAGAAAAAGAAAACACAAAACACAAAAATAATAAGAAAAAAAATTAAAAAGTGCTATTACAAAAAAGTGACAAAACTACAACAAAGAAAATAAAAAACTCAGCATAGTATATCATTATAACAGTAAACAGTTACAAATCTATATATATTTATCAAATGCAAATATTATTCAGATGTGTGTGT